GATTATCTACTAAATAGTGAATTCAGCATCAACTTCACCAAGATGAAGTTCATATCTTTCTAAGATACGTGTTACTTTATGTCCCTACTAGAATCCGAGCTCAAATGACTCAAACCAACAAAATGTCCAAGCAAAGAATCATGTGCACCATGAGGCTGGGTTATCAGGGTCACTTACAAATCAAATAAAATACCCCATTATAACAATGGACTTTATCTTTATGTATTTATTATATATTACCCCCTCAGGCTGATTTTGGAAAAGGACATTAACCGTTGTTTGGTGTTTTTCCCTTATTTATCTAAAACAAATGACATGATAAATTACTTGTGTTTATGTGTGTAAGACTTGTGTTTCTGCCCCTGCCATTGCTGCACAAGGTTGCAACATTGTAGATAAATTCAACCACTGACACCTGTCTGCTCTCACATTCTTCTATTCTGCAAATTTGGGGCTGGACACAATAATAAAGCTTCGCCAGTTTGTTTGTTTTATTGCACAGTCAAGACATAACAATAACGGCATCACGCCGCTAAAGTAGCTTTTGCGAACATCGCTCAAAACATTTGGAGTTGGGAACTGCTTTCTGTAGAAGCTGCTGCATCCCGTCCTCAGAGTAAATTGCCAGAAGCGCCGACACTTCCTCATCATTCCACCGCTCCGGTGTTGTAGTACGTGTGGTCATAACTGCTTTAAAGTACAAGAAAACTACTCGCTCAGGTGTGGATGTGGTTTTGTAGCGAGGAAAAAAATGGCTGCCTAACAAAAAAAATTCAGAGTCTAACGGGGCGTGGTTTGCAATTCGCCCAGCCAATAGAAATAGAATATAAATTGGCACTCTTTTATCACCAGGTTCGTACAACCTCTCTAGCAGGGACTGAAAATGGCCAAAAGAGTTCCCGGCACTGAGTAGTCCCGGCGGTGTGAACGCGACATTATTGATATTAACGGAACTAAAGAACCAAAGTACCAGAGAAAGTCCTGCTTGATAGGAGAGTCGAAAGAAGCAGAACATAACATATGTATATTCTTTGATTTGTAGATATTGACAATGTTTTTGTATTTGCTACACTTACACGTATTTTAAGTATGCACCATTCTTTCTCCTCGTGCTGTCTTGAAGGACCATCACCAACTGAGGATTAAGATCCTTGGAGACTGTTACTATTGCATCTGTGGTCTTCCTGATTTCAGAGAGGACCACGCTGCCTGCTCCATAAATATGGGCCTCGCCATGGTGGATGCAATATCGTAAGTAGTGATTTCATTGGCAAAAAATGGAAAAGAAGGGGTAGTATTAATGTAGAGTTTGTATTATGGTGGTTTTATTTGTACATATTGTGTATATATGTTTTTTTTGTTTTGTTTCTTTCAGTTAACTGTCAAGTGGGAACTAAGTATTTTTTTGTAAGTTTTTGTGTTTCTCTTATTTTCCTACGATACTGTTATGATTGGCTGTGAATAAGAAAATATGAAGGACAGACCATCTATTTCTATTTATTATTTTTCTTTTGAGAAAGGGGCAGGTAATATAAGATAATGTTCTTCTCCCTGCTCCCTTTTCGGGTATGCTGTGTGTTCATAGAAACATGTTTTGTAAATAATTGTTATAGCCTACATTAAGTTGTGCATACCATGAACGGAACAAATAAAAATGAAATGAAATATATGACAAAAGGCAATCTCAATAATTAAAGATATAAATGAGTAAAGGAAGAAATTAGATGAGGGATATTTTGCCACTCAACACTTAAAATAGTCCCCAAAGTAGGAGAGAAAAGAGAAAAAGAAACAATGCCAATTAATCTTAGACTTCTATCAATAATATGGGATAAAACATGAAAAATAGACATGAAAGAGAATACAGACGAAGAAGAGTGGGCTATTCGTGACATAATGACTTCAAAGATAACTACAGAGATCTCCCACGTTCCCCTCCTTTCTTAGGTACGTACGAGAGAAGACTAAAACTGAAGTGGACATGCGTGTGGGCGTCCACACAGGCACCGTGCTGGGGGGGGTGCTGGGGCAGAAAAAGTGGCAGTTTGACGTTTGGTCCACAGACGTAACTGTAGCCAATAAGATGGAATCTGGGGGGATACCTGGGTAAGAGAGCAATGCTTTATTTCACTGTCAGCGGGAGTGACTAAATTCTTCTTTGTGGTTTATTTCAAGAGTTTTGTGTGCTCCACAGGAGAGTGCACATTTCCCAGACAACCAAGGACTGTCTGCTAGGAGGTTTTGACCTGGAGCCGGGGGAGGGCGGGGAGAGGTGCGAGTACCTGATGGAGAAAGGCATCGACACTTACCTGGTGCTGGTGCCTAAACAGGCGGCCAATGGGCTCAATGCAAATGTGAGTCAGCGAACTGTCTTTCAGGGCATTGTCATTGTTTGTTTGATCATGACCTATGTTTAGCTTGTATCAAAAACAAAGTATAAGTATCTTTTTTAGAAATACCCATTTTCTATGCACACATAATAGCATTAACAGATATGTTTCTGCTTCTCCCCCTCAGAAACCTGGGATGTTGTCCAACACAAATTCAAACCAGTTAATCAACACTACAGTAACCAATGGGAATGCCACCTCACCCCAATTAACGGCCGCTGACTGTAAACAGGAGGTGAACTATGATAAATGTTTTTATTCATTATATATAAACCAGCATCCTCATATGAGTACAGATGGCCAAAGAGTCTACTTCAGAATCAGAATCAGTTTTAATTACCAAGTAGGTTAACACATATGACACATTTTCTTTGGTATATGCGGTGCATACAAAGACACACAAAGAAGAATACGTAAAAAAAATGAAAATCTATTTAAAAAAAACTATTTTAAGACTATTATAACAAATTAACAATATTTACATATGACAAATACTATATACTGTATTTAAAGTGGAGAGCTGTGCTGATTTGAAAGAGGTATTATAACTTGCTAATAACTACTTGATTGTAAGCACTTTGAGCACCAGGAAAAGCGCTATATAAATGTAATGTATTATTATTATTATTATTATTATAACCCATACATACAAATGCACACGTTATCCTAAATAGCATTAAATGCACAATACAAAATTGGTAATCTAACCCATGTCAATCAATCAATCAATCAATCAATCAATCAATGTGTATTTATATAGCCCAATATCACAAATGTTACATTTGTCTCAGTGGACTTCACAGTTTGTACAGAATATCAGTATGACAATACGACACCCTCTGTCCTTAGACCCTCACATCGTACAAGGAAAAACTTCCGGAGAAAACCCACAGTTGGGAAAAAAAAAAATGGGAGAAACCTCAGGGAGAGCAACAGAGGAGGGATCCCTCTCCCAGGACGGACAGACGTGCAATAGATGCCGTGTGTAAATTGAAAAGATAATACATTTGCAACATAGGTAGTCCAAATGTTTGGAAATGCATGTGTGTATAATAGGAAGATGAATCCACGAGGATATCCATCCAGGACTTATGATCCAGGACCACAGCCACGACTCAAGATCCAGGACTCGCAATCCATGACACAGGACCGCA